GCTTGAGCCCAGGAGTTGGAGGTTGCTGTGAGCATGATGCCATGGCACTCTACCCAGGGGGATAGCTTCAGGCTCCGTTTCAAAAAAAAAAAAAAAAAATGTTTGAGTTCTAATCATTCTTTTCCTGTTTATAGGTGAATGGATTTTTTAATTTCTCTGTCTTGCTATCGTTCAGTAGGTTTTGTATTTGTACTGTCTATTCACCATCCTTTCTCCATTAGACTTTCTGGTTTGGGTTGATAACAGCCACTAGTTTATTAAAACTATGCCTAGTCCCTTACCCTAATATAGCAACTACTATGTAGTTTAAAAAAAGAAAAAAGAGTTTTTTTCAAATTTTATGTTATTGGCTCCTGCAATTACCCTTTGAAATAGAAAGGGCACAATTTGTAATCCTTATTTTACAAAAAGGGAAGACAACATATGCTTCAGTCCACATATCTGGTAAGTTAGAATCAAACTTGGAACTAGATCTTCTTATTTTAATTTGTTTCTTCAGTATCTAAAAGGGATAAACTTTGGTTTATCGTTAAAGCAGGTACCGTCCAGTTAGCTTTCTGTCTTCAGAACATATAGCAAATGATCAATAATTTTTAGTGAACAAATGAACTGGGGATTATGTAGGTATCTATAGGTCCGAGGTTTGAATTAATAATGATACTAATCAATGCTACGGTGACTTCTTTTTACTGTAGCAATGGTTTGGATTATAGATAAGTTTAGTTCTGTAAATATTCTGGCTGAACAAAGGACTTCAGGTTATTCCAGGAGTTCTCATGTTAAGTGTTTTTGTTCATTTATAACAAAGTAGTAATGGGATATAAATGTACTGATATAATGTGACATTACAAGGGTAAATAGTAGACTGCATTTGCTTATGATAAATCTGAGTAAGATTTCTTCCACACTTTTTTTTGGTTGTCTTCGGTAGAATGCTGTGGCATCACAGCGCATAGCAACTTCAAACTCTTGGGCTTAAGCAATTCTCTTGTTTCAGCCTCTTGAATAGCTGGGACTACAGGCACCTGCCACAATACCCAGCTACACACTTTTTTAAAGACACTGTTCTGTAGCCTTAAATAACCAGGAAACAAGCCCCTCCTCTTGTCATCTCCTGTATTGCATTCAGCTGCTTGATCATGCTTCCCATTCCCAGCATCCCCAGAGGCAGCTGTACTGTTTGGTGAAAGAGTCCAGTGATAGTGATGATGGGTTTCACTGGAAGATTTTCTCCCATTGACATTAGCCCAGTGGTTCTCAACCTTCCTAATGCTGCGAACCTTTAATACAGTCCAAAGGGGTTGCAACCCACAGGTTGAGAACCCCTCTGCTTAGCCTAAAGGCCAAAAAGCAATGACAAAGTTAAGTATTTTTTTCCAGTATTGAAAAAGTCTGGTTGTCCTCAGCCCCCTTGCCCAAACCTCACAGTTTTGAAGTCATTTCAAAACCTTGAATGATCTTGTTCTACCTAACTTTCTCTCTCATCTCAAATTGTAATTCCCTCTCCGAAACCTCCTGCCTTTTATGAGACAAATTAAGGGGTTGCTCTAAGAAACTAGTCAGTAATGTAAACCTCCTATTTTTCATACCTTACCCTTGAAGGGAGTTAAACTAGTCTTCTTCTAGAAATAGCACTTTCTGTCTTAAATCCTTTTTATTTTCTTGCTGCAGAGACTCCATGCACAGTGTATAATTATTAAATTAGATGCTTCCTGCAGCTACTTTCTTTGGTCAATGTTTTTCTTTTTTTTTTTCTTTTTTTTTTTTGGTCAATGTTTTTCTTTAATTCACAGTTAATTTACTATCCCTTATGTTAATACTGTGAGCTTCAGGTGTAAACTTTCTTCCCACCAATGGAAAGAACTTTGAGTTTTCTTTAAGTATCTGTTTTCTGTTGTGTCTAGTAATAGGTTGATGATGATGGCTGTTCTTTCCAATTGACCACCAGATTTTTTGTTTGTTTGTTTGTTTGCAGACAGAATCTCACTCTGTTGCCCAAGCTAGAGAGCCATGACGTCAGCCTGGTTCATAGCAACCTCAGACTCCTGGGTACAAGTGATTCTCCTGTCTCAAGTAGCTGGAACTATCAGTGCCCACCACAATGTCCAAATAATTTTTTGTCTTTGTTTTTAAAGTTTTTTTTGTATTTTTTTGGCAGTTTTTGGCCAGGGCTGGGTTTGAACTGTCACCTCCCATATATGGGGCCAGTGCCCTACTCCTTTGAGCCACAGGCACTGCCCTTCTATTTTTTTTTTTTAGTAGAGTCAGGGTATCCTCCCACCTTGGCCTTCCAGAGTGCTAGGATTACAGGCATGAGCCACCACAGCTAGCCCCAATTTTTGTTTTTTAATTGTTTCCAAACTTTCTCCTTTCTCTTTGCCCTGTGGCCCTGAATACCACTAGCTGACATTAAGAAAACCCTAGAGAAGTTCCTTTCTCTTATCTTTCTTTGTTAAATGCATAGGTAAAATCCCTTTATAACAACTGGTTTCTTTAAAGTGAAATCCTTTCAAAAACTTAGTTGTTGGTCCATGGAAATAGAACTTTTGGAGTCAGGTTGCTTGTTTTCTTGTCTGTCTCTCCCCCTCCCTCCCTCTTCTTGTCTTATTTTTTAACTTGATATCTACCCTCTTAACAGATTTGAAGTGTATAATACAGTATTGTTATCTATAGGCACAGTGTTATACAGCAAATCTCTAGGACTTATTCATCTGGCATAACTGAAGTTTTATACCCATCTAAAATGTTCAAGGTCATAGACACAAAGAAGAGCATTGTAGTTGTCAGGGACTTGGGGGAGAGGAGATGGGGAGTTTCTAATCAACAGGTGAGTTAGTTTTTCCTACACTGTATAAAGCTTGACAGTCAGTGTATTTAGGTATAGGTTGAATGTCCCTAATCCAAAAGTCTGAAATATCAAAATACTTTAAACTTCAAAACTTTTTTCCTTTTTCTTGAGACAGCATATTGCTCTGTCACCCTACATAGAGTGCAGTGGTGTCATTTTAGCTCACAGCAACATCCAACTACTTGGCTCAAGCAATCCTCCTGCATCACCCTCCCCAGTAGCTGGGACTACAGGCAGCGCCACCATGCCCTGCTAATTTTTATGTTTTTAGTAGAAAAGGGTCTTGCCTTTGCTCAGGCTGGTCTCGAACTCCTGAGCTCAAGAAATCCACCCACCCCAACCTCCCAGGGTGCTAAGATTACAGGCATGAACCACTGCACCCAACCTACATTCCAAAACTTTTTGAGTATCAACATGACATTCAAAGGAAATGCTCATTGTAGCATTTCAGATTTGGGATTTTTGAATTATGCTAGTAAGTATGCTAGTGAGTATAATTCAAATACTCTAAAACAGGCGTCCTCAAACTACAGCCCGCGGGCCACATGCAGCCCGACTAGGACATGACATTTATACAACCCGCTGGGTGTTTTTGCTGCCACAGCTTGTCCTGCTTAGCAGCTGACTCGTCCCGGGGGCCAAAGTCCAGCCCTCCAACGGTCTGAGGGACAGTGAACTGGTCCCCTGTTTAAAAAGTTTGAGGGCCTCTGCTCTAAAATCTGAAAAAAATCAAAATCTACAATTGGTCCTAAGCATTTTAGATAAGAGATATTCAACCTGTATGTGGTTGTTTGCCCTTGAGGTAGAAAAGGGCAGAAGAATAAATTTGGTGATTAGTCCTGCCATGAACCAGTAGTTACCTTTCTGATTCTGAGGTTTCCTGCCAACACCTACACCACTGCCCACCCCCAACCCAAAATAGAAAAAAAAAAAAAAAGACACTCCCAAGACCACTTATTCCAAAACATTACCATACATAAACTCTTTAGAAGCTTGAGAGAAGAAAAATACGGAAGAGAGAATATAGTTAGGAATCTCTTTCCCACTAAATTAGGGGTTCATTTGTAATCAATAAGTTAAAAAGCATAGCTTCTTATGAACACATGTTAATGTTAATATTGGGAATGTCAGGAATTGAGTCCTTTGACTGCCATCAACAGGATCATAATTAAATGCAAGTGAAACTTAATGGCTTATCACCATTATTATCAACCATTATTCTTTACCTAAGTTCTGTATATATCTTTATTATATTCAGTAAGCCATATTGATCAGTATTTGTATTTTTAGCCCTTCCTGATCTAAGTGGATACTCTTGACCTCTATTGGTGATATTACTGACCTTGCTCATGGCTATATCACAGTCTGACTCACCAGGTTTTTCTTTTTTCTTTTTTTAAGAGACAGCCAGCCTCCATGTCTCCATTAGCTCTCTTCCCCATTAGGACTTTCTTTCCTCTACTTCTCTAATCCCTTTCTTTCTTCACTCCCCTCCCCCCTTTTACTCTTCCACAATTTTCTCAGGGCTGGGCTTCAACATCGTCGGTGGGACAGATCAGCAGTATGTCTCCAATGACAGTGGCATCTACGTCAGCCGCATCAAAGAGAATGGGGCTGCGGCCCTGGATGGGCGGCTCCAGGAAGGTGATAAGATCCTCTCGGTGAGAACTGGCTTTTTCTGCCTTCACTGTCCTTTGCTCCCTAGACCCCAAGTCCTGCTCCAGCCCCTTTCTTGAGAAGATTCCTGCCTGCCTTTTGGGATCCGGAAATACCCAGATTATAGTGTTGAATGTGAGGAACCTTGATCTGTCATCCTACAATAGAGTGCAGTGGTGTCATCCTACATAGAGTGCAGACCTTGATCTGTCATCCTACATAGAGTGCAGACCTTGATCTGTCATCCTTTCCGGCCCTATTATTGGTTTGGAGGGTAATATTTTCCTCATTTGACAGACAAGGCCAAGTTGAGTGAAGAATGTGAAGTTACTTACCCAGGTTAAGAAAACACAAAGCAAGAAACAGTGGAGGACTGGTATTGGGGAAAGACCTTTAAAATTCACAGTTTTTGTCTTCTATTATTTATTACCTCATTTTGCTGATTAAAACACTAATGTGTTTCTCCTTAAGGTATTGGCCATTATAATTGGATTTAACTTCAAAACTCACAAAGAAAGAAAGTCAGAATTAAGTGTTCTTTAAGACACAGACATTTTTTCACTTACTTTGATGAAAAATTAGAATGCAGTTTGATTTGGATATCTGTCCACTATGCTCCTATTTCACCCTGCCTCTACTAAGATAATTAATACATGGTAATCATTAATTTTATTCAATTCTGGAATTTCTCAAGGGCAGAGGTCAGATCTTTTTTTAATCTTTTATAACCTAGTACAGTGTTCAATATATGTTTAACAAATAAGCAAGTTAAGAAATTCAGGTAAACCTAGAAAGGTTGACTGATAAATGGATGTCCACAGACCCCTGGTCTTAAAATAAATTAGAATAAGCCTAAAATCAATCCTAACACTCACAAAATAAGAAGTTTTAAAGTATTAAAATGCAGAATATAACTCTATACTTTTTAGTTCCCTATCATTGATTATGGTAACACTATGATGCTATCAACTTTGCTAGAGTTAGGGAGAGTGTAGTTTAGAGATAACCATTCTATAGTTTTAAAAATTAATTTTCCGAGCTAACTGAAGATGACCAACTTATCACTCGTATGGAAACAGTATAGGAGATTGATATAAAGAATAGAGAAGTGCTAACGGGGTTAGATACCATCTACGATATTTATGGGAGAGCTGGCTTCAAAAGATTAAACTTAAAAGGAAATTTGAACTAGGATAAGGCTTCTCTTTGAAAAAGCTCCTACCTTCTCCAAATGGACTGTGAGTCCATGCTCTGAAGAGGAGGAAACTATTCCTTCCTTTCTCTTATGAATTGAATAGGCTATGGTAACCAAATTGAGAAAGGTTGACATAAGTGAATGAAGTACAGAATAAAAGAAGTGTTGATTGTCAGAATTAAATATGGATCTCAGAGACTTGATTTTGAACCTACCTCCATAAGATAGGTATGTTTATTTCTTTAAAAAAGAAACCGGGTCTCACTTCGTTGGCACCTGGGCTAGGGTGCAATGGTGTCATCATAACTTACTGCAACCTCAAATTCCTGGGCTCAAGCAATCCTCTTGCTTCGGCCGCTCAAGTAGGTGGGACTACAAGCACATGCCACTGTGCCCAGCTAATTTTTCTATTTTTTTTTTTTTTAAAGATGTATCTTGCTATGTTGCCCAGGCTGGTCTCAAACTCCTGGTCTCAAGCAATTCTCTTACCTTGGCCTCCCACAGTACTTGGATTGCAGGCATGGAGCACCATACTGACCCAGTTTATCCCTTTAAAAATTTTGTTACTGGCTCGGCGCCTGTGGCTCAAGTGGCTAAGGTGCCAGCCACATACACCTAAGGTGGCAGGTTTGAATCCAGCCCAGGCCTGCCAAACAACAATGATGGCTGCAACCAAAAAATAGCCGGGCGTTGTGGCAGGCGCCTGTGGTCCCAGCTACTTGGGAGGCAGAGGCAGGAGACTTGCTTGAGCCCAGGAGTTGGAGGTTGCTGTGAGCTGTGATGCTATGGCACTCTACCCAGGGGAACAGCTTAAGGCTCTGTCTCAAAAAAATAAAAATTAAAAAATTTGTTACTATAGGTTTATTTTGAACTTTCCCATTTAGTTGATAAGTGATTAAATGTCATATGTTTGAAGTCTTGTGGCCTTCTTAGTTACCATTTTGTTGGACACTTCCCTGCCATCAAGCCCATTTGGTAGCAATACATGAAAGCAGAGATACAAAGCAAAGGAAAGAGAACTTCCACCTTTTCTTCATTTGGCATCTGAGCATTTGAGAGATAAAGTTTAGCAGTATGGTTCTGAGCACCTCTTCAAGAAGACTTTATGACTCCATTTAGTTCCCAGAAAAGAAGGAAAATCAGAACAAGTAGCTAATGGAGCTAGCTACCTAAATTAACTCAAGAGTGTTTCTTAAGAATGTGTTCTTGCTTATCCATAATATAAATACAATGTCATGGCAGTATTTAAATCCTTCTTACTATTGCTTTTCTTCAGTCAATTAAGTTTCTTGTTGACCTTATTTATTCATCTATGAGATAGAGACAATGATAATCTTCTTCTCATCTCAGAGGGATAGTGAAAAGTTTAGAAATATTTCCCATAGCTTCCAGGAGAAGGACATTCTTAAAATATGAATTAATTTGGCAATGGTAGATAAGGAGAAATTAAGATTGGGTTGTTAAATAAATGAAAGGGACAGCGTATACTTAGAATCTATGCAGTTTAATATATGATGCATAAAGCCCATTCTCTTCACCTAGGGTCTCTGAGTAAAGAAGAACCCAAACATATAGGGGTTAAAGAAGAGAACCATATTATTTGAAAAGCTTTGGTTAAAAGTAGGTTATTACAAAATGAAGATGGTGAGAAGTTTTAGAGCACTAAATGCCAAATAGAGTGCTAAGAACTTTAAATTTATGTTATTTAATATTATAGTAACCCTAGAAGGTGGGTATGATTATTATGCCCACTTTGCAGCTAAGGGAACTGAGGCTATGTGAAATCAAGCAGCTTGTCCAAGATCACACAACTACTAAGCAGTAGGGGAATAAAACTTCAGTCTGTCTGAATTTGGAGCATCTGCTCTTAACCAGCGTGCTATGCTGCCTCCTGAAAGGTAAATGAGAAGCTAGAATTAGTGTCCTAAAGAAAAAGTTGCGTGGTGAATTAATAATAAAGTGTATGTATACTTTTACATAAAAACTGAAATTAGTCTTTCCATAAAGAGTAGAATTAGGGAGGAGAAAAATGATATAAATTGCAATGTGGACGAATTTATTAGATAGAAGCTGAGATGAAGAATCTTTCTCATGTGGGCCATTGCCTCACAGAGAAAAGAAAATGTCTAAATTCATAGCAAAGAGAGTTTACTTTATCAAAAATGTATGTAAGAACTGTAAGAAATATTGCAAAGATATACAGAAGATTTAAAATGTTACAAAGACATACAAGATATGTCACAAAGAATGATACGTTAATGTTTTAGCCAGTTAAGGAAAAGGTATGCAAAAGAAGAGAAGGAAAAATGCCAGGAAAAGGAAAGGCAGAAATAGAAGACATATGGAGGGAAATATCACAAAGAAAAAGGAGGAGCATATAGATACACACATACAAAAGAGTAAAGGCAGCACCATCTCTTCACTGTGTCTGGGCCTACGTTCCTTTGACTCCCATTTCCCTTCTAAAGTTTATTTTTAAATTCTTCTTTCTAGATCCTGTTCCCTAAGAAATATTACAAAACAGCTTCTGTTGCTTTACTTACCCATGACATCCAATTCCTTCTCTATTCTTAAGTGAATTGTCAGGACATAACCATTAAATGTACCTAAGGATTCATTGATTATTAGCTTTGAAGTCTCTGTAAAATGATGCTAAATTATATACCAGCCTATATTCCTATTTGTCTCTCAGGGACATTCTTATTCTCACATGGGTTATTTTTCCATGTTGTAAATAAAATATGCCCCATTTTTTCCTGGTAACTTTTGGATGCTGGATAATCAAACAAAAAATGTGTCTTTTATCACATATTTATTTTAGATAACTAATAGAAGTATCATTAGGTGATCTGTAAAATTCCCTTGAGTTTTTATCAACTATTAGTTTAATCTGTTTTCCCTAAATAATGCCCACATAATATCTTGATTTCAAGTTCTAAAATTAAATAACTTCATGATTTGTCCTGTAGTTTTCTGTTTCTCATCAAAAGTGAAATTTAATTTTTATGCTCACTATGGATAATTTAAACTAAAAAAGAAAAAACATTCTTAACTAATGCATATAAATGACTTTTGAGACCCTGTTGTATCTGACAACCATAAAATAAAAATGAGTATTAGCAAGGGAAGAACAGACCTGGTGTTGAGGTGAGGGCTCAAAATCCCACACTTGTAGTTCATTTTGTTTATTGGTAAGGAAGATTTAATACTGGAATAGGTTACTATAGAACTGAGATAATTTTATTTTTGTTTAAAAATGTAAATTGTTTAAGTTTCTCATTTTCTCTGTAGGTTTGCCTAAATGAAGGGAGGTAGATATTCAATAAAAGTCAATCCTTGAAGCTTGGGGTGATGTAGCTTAAACAACCCCCTTTATAACAAAATGGCACAGATTGGGCCATTAGCCAACTGCATTTCATAATCTTAATTTGGTGAATGAGAGTTGGTTAGTCATCAACATCGATCAACTGTTACACTTGATGGCCTTCACAGCACTGTGCCAGGTGCTATGGAAAATTGCAAAGAAAATGAAAGATTGATCTCTGCCCTTATCTTGGAAATCAGTGGAAAGGGCTCCCCAGAAACCCCCATTCACTCAGTTACAGAGACACTGAAATATGTAACAGAATCCATTAGACAAGGTAGTTTTAGGGAAGACTCTTTGCCTTCTCATCTATCCGTGTGTAGCATGTAGGTGTCTATCTGGCACAGAGTGCACATCTGATAAGTTAGTTGTTCAGTTCATTTTGATGCACTGACTTTTTTGGGTGGGTCTAATTAATTGCACCTATTTTTATTCCTTTAACTTTGATGAAAAAAGACACCAAAAAATATATGTTCTAGAATCTTGGTAAAAAATTAAAGTCCCCAGAATATAATCTGAGATCAGTGCTCATTCAGTTGAGCCCATACTTCTGTATGCTTCTCCACCTGCATTTATATTAGAGCTCTATGCTCAGGGCTCCTATTTGAGATAAGCCTGAGGCAATTCAAAATTCTTAATAATCAAAGAAAACTAATTTTAACTCAACTTATTTCATAAGGTAGGAAATAGGAAATATATGTTTAAAGACTGCTAACAATCAGAATTAAAGCAAGAAACTTTGTTTCCCCAACAGTTACCTGGAGCACCATCTTAATTCTCTGAACATCCAAAGTCATCACAATTTTCTAGCATGTTGCAAATCTGTATAATTCAAGTTCAGTGAAACTTATTATGAGTTAAGGAAGCTGAAGTGGCAAGTTAACAAATCTAGGATTCTGACCTTCAATTTGGTAGAGACAAAAAAAACCCCAAACAATTCTAGGATCACTCACCTGAGTATCTTTTTGTACTAAAAGTAAGGTCCAAGGACCAGCATTCTGGCCATCTCCTAAGAACTTTTTCAAATGCAGCATCTGACCAGGCACAGTGACTGACACCTATAATCCCAACACTTTGGGAGGCCAAGGTAGAAGGATCTCTAGAGCCTAAGAGTCTGAGACTAGCATGGGCAACATAGACTGTTACTACAAAAAATTTAAACGTTAGCCAGGTATGATGGTGCATATCTGTAGTCTCAGCGACTCAGGAGGCTGAGGTGGGAGGATTATTTAGCCTAGGGGTTCAAGGCTGTAGTGAGCTGTTATCACACCATTGCACTCCAGCCTGGACACCAGAGTAAGACCCTATCTCTTAAAGAAAGAAAAATAACATAGGCTCTCAAGTCTCCCCAGACCTGCAGGCAAAAACTGCATTATAACAAAATCGCTTGATGAGTCTGTGCACAATAAAGTTTGAGAACCACTGCTGTAGGCTAGTATTTTTCAAACCTTTTAAGTTATGATCTGCAGTAGGAATGGCATACATTTTTTTTTTGGCTGGGGCTGGGTTTGAACCCACCACCTCCAGTATATGGGGCCAGCGTCCTACTCCTTTGAGCCACAGGCACCACCCTGAACTGCATACATTTTTTATTTATCAAATAGGAATGTGTATGTGTATACAGTATATTTGAAAGTTTAACAAAACAGTACTTTTATATGTGTGATGTCTTATGGTATTTTGTGTTTTCTAATTGTGCTTTTTAAAAATTACATACTAGTCCTGACCCACTGGATTGATAATACAGTTTTCTGTATAGGTTCAATAAACCCCTATTTGAAAATATGCGACTCTAGTAAAGGGAAAATCACTAATGAAATCTGAAGGTGCAAGGGAGGTAGTTGGGAAGTAGAGACCAGTTAGAAGATGATCTCAGGCAGGTTAGTTTCAAGCTAACTCAGACTTGAGAACCACTTGGAAAGTTGTTAAAGCAAAGGATGAGGCCTAAAAATGTACATTTTTAAAAGTTCCTAGGTCATACTAATGTTGCTGGTCATGGAACCACAGTTTGAGAATGACTGGTTTGTATTAGTAATAGTGGATTCCACAGATACTTAGGGCTATGGAAATTAGTGTTTAGTCACTAGGCAACTGGAATATGTACAGCTGCTTAGAAGCAGTCAGTACTGGAGAGCAAACTTAATTTTGGAGTAGAAATGACATTATTAAAGGGGAAAGTCATAATCGTGCCTTTTTTTAAAATTGAGTCTAACTCTGTCACCCTGGCTAGAGTAAGGTGGTGTGGTCATAGCTCTCTGCAACCTCCATCTTTCAGCTATGTATAATCCTGAGATTATGTCAATCAGGCTTTGTTAGTTATGGCTTTTCCAGGGTGCACTCTTGCAGTCATTCTTCAGGGAAATGTGACATTTATTATGCTTAAGTATTGTACAAAGTGCTCTTCAGCTACTGTGAGGGTTATGATGATCTAAGATACAACCTCTTCGAGTTACAATAGAATATAAAGTTTTATATAAAGCAGAGTTTAATTTGAACTTTAAGAGATACATAGTATGGAGATTCAAAGAAGTAAATCTTTTTAAGTTTTAATGCTACATCAGTGTATACAAATGAATAAAAATATTCATACAGAAACACTTTGATTTTATACAGCTCTACAATCTTTTAAAGTATAACCAATATAGCTAAAACTGTAAAACCAATAAAAATATAATTTACAACATAAATATGACAATGATGTGTGGCTGAAATAAAATCTTTGCTTACACTGTAAATTTGTATACATAAGTTAGTGTTTTAAAGTGAGGGATTTGGGGCCAAGCTGCTACAGTTTGAATTCTGGCTTTGCTACTTCCATTCCGTGTGTGCCTGGACAACTTGCATAGCCTCTCTATACTTCACTTTTATCAGTTATAAAATGAGGTTCCTAACTTACAGGACCTGGAAGATAATGTTGGTTGTAGGGAAGCAGGCTAATAATAATGCTCTTGGAAGACATACAAATACAGTAACAGGATCGCAAGTGTCAAAATGAGATAGGCATAGAAAGTAAGAGATAGGAGAGACTACATTTTATTTGGTTTGATTTTACCTAGGTGTTCTTCAAATGGCCTATGGAATGGCAGTTCTAGGAAAACATAGCTTTGAAAATGAAAAAAGTTCTGAGTAACTTTGTCCATACTCCTATCCTTTGGATTTGCCCTGAAGGAGGTTGTTTGTTTTTTTTTAATTTGGACACATAAAAGTAAATTGTTGAATTATGCCTTTCTTATTATTCTTTCTTGCCGTTTTGACAGGTAAATGGCCAAGACCTAAGGAATTTATTGCACCACGATGCTGTAAACCTCTTCCGCAATGCAGGCTATGCTGTATCCCTGAGAGTGCAACACAGGGTAAGTATCACTTATAGCCAGAGACCTGGCTCCAGTCTTTTGCTCCATTTAACCTTTTTAGGGAAGGAACTATGTTTGCCCTTGAAAACTTATTTATAAAACCAATTTATAGGCCAGCCTCTGGCTCATGCCTATAATCCCAACACAGAAGGTTCAGAGTTCCAGACCAGCCTGGGCAGCATAGGCAGACCCTGGCTCTACAAAAAGTTTGAAAATAGCCAGGTATAGTGGTATGCACCTGTAGTCCTAACTACTCAGGAGGCTAAGATGGGAGGATAACTCCTTGAGCCCAGGAGTTCAAGGTTACAGTGAACTGGTATTAGGTGGGCCACTGCCTGGGCAACAAAGTAAGACCCTGTTTCTAAAAAAAAAATAAATAATTTTTAAAAATTTATAAAATAAACTCTACAAAGATAGTAGGCTTTCTGGTAGCTACTATGTGCTTTTCCCCCATCACTGCCATGCACCTTTTACTTCTCAGGTCAGTGGCCCTCTTGACCAAAGCTCTAGTGTTAAAAGGAAAGCTCCAGGAAAAAGGAAATGGATTCAGAATTCAGTCAAGGCAGCACCCATCCCTGCCTCTGCTTCTTATTTTCTTCTGTTTTATAATTTGGATGATATAAGTGAAGCCTAGGTAGATATTATTCATCCTATAGCACTGAGGATTTCTGAGTGTACCACAAGACAGGATCAGCATGCCTTTAAGTTTATGCCTTCATAAATTGGTGTACTCTTTTTCTTACTCAGCAGCTAAGTAAAAAGCTTCACAGGCTGAAGAACATCGGAAGGAATACCTAAAAAAGTAGAGACGACAAAACACAAAATATATCTGAGAAAACACCCAGGGTTGCAAGCAGAATCTGGGTGTAATGGATTAAGAAACAGGTCACTAAGGGACAGTATTGGTCATCAGCTGCTTCTGCCTTGGCTCTTCTCTGTTTCCAAAGCATGGCAGAGTTATCCAGTAGATGAAGACAAGTGAATATAGCCATACACTTTAGATTTGATTACAGGGCTTTTTGTAGGTATGTGGGATGTGACTTCTAATGTTAATTATAGGAAACATCCGTAAATAATTCCCAATAAAACAGACTATGTCTTCCCATTAAGCATGCCCTCTCAGGACTTCTCATCAACAAATGAATGAAGGATATAAGGGTCCAGTAGCAGGTATAATGGTAGTTCATGTAGTCTTCCCTTTCAGATTGAAGGGTCATAGTTTTAGATTATAATGAGAAGGTTAAATCTAATGAAACAAGATGGCACCATAATTATTATAAGTTACTCAGGCCACCCAGAATGAAATGACTGAAATGAAGACCATCCAGCCCCAGAAAGAAGTACTAGGCAATAGAAAATTATAAGCACTAGGTTATAATTTCTTTTTACTTATCTAAGAATTTTTTACCTCTGTGTTGAATATATGTTTCACCTTTATCTCTGTCCAGTATTACAAACTAGGAGATGAAGGACAAGACCCCATCTTAGGAGGGAATAAGCACCTTTTGGGAATTAGAAAGCATTTTCAAGTGATGGCATTGCACCTGTATTGACATTGCCCAGATTTGGTCTTACCAGATTTTGATGACTGGTAATCTTTCAAAGTAAACATTTCCAGAAAGCTCTAGCCTCCCTCCCAATAATAGGTTTTATCTTATATCTTTATTTTCCTGATATGCAAATACTGAGGTGGCAGAAGTACGGAAACAGAAGGTATGTGACTTGACTTTAGGGGTTCCTTTATGTCACTAGCACTTCAGGGTTAAACACTTCCTCATCAGACCTATTTTCTTCCTGAAGATCCTGTGACACTGATATATCAGCTCAGAACAAAGAGAAGAATCCTTCTGCTAGGTAATGCTTGCAGGTTTATAGCTTTGGGTGGTCTATAGACTATAGACCCAGGTGATGTATCACCTGGACATTTCAGTTGTGGTAGACATACATTTGTCACTAGAGTTATAACATTTTTCTTCTCCTTCCAGTTACAGGTACAGAATGGACCTACAGGACATCGAGGTGAAGGGGACCCAAGTGGTATTCCCATATTTATGGTGCTAGTGCCAGTGTTTGCCCTCACCATGGTAGCAGCCTGGGCCTTCATGCGGTACCGGCAAAAACTTTGAAAAACTTGCTTTCTGTCAGTGCTCCCAATGAAGATACATTTCTCCTGCCCTCCGCCCCTGCCATTCTCCCATATGTTTTCCTCTCTGCATAGCCACTACGTGATTTAAAGTGACTGATACCCACCCTGACCCTTGCTGTTCAAAATCTCTAAATCTTCATATTCTCATGGAAAAGTAACGGTATTGTGTGAAGGAAAGCCGAAGACAAAACTTGATTAGAACAAAGAGGAGTTATATTTTTCACAGGACTTTCAATAGCAATTCAGCTACTACCAAAAGAGGGAAAGGTCCAGTCACTGTGGATGATCCTTTTTTCTTAGCTGGCATGCCTTAAAGGCCAGCTGCATGATATTGGAGGAAGAGAGGATTTTTCTTGTTAATGATCTTCCTTGGAATGTTTCTGTGGCCTTTATTTAATTTTTAACTATATACTTGGTGCCTATAAAGGAGAATGAGAAGACCATTTTTTACTTTTTTTACAAAACAAAGACACATATACATATGCATATACGATAGTGTGTAGTGTTGCCTATAAAGAAGTAAAGAGGTAAGAAAGCTACTCTGTAAAGCTCTGTGTAAAGATACTGTGGAGCAGGTGTAGTAGGAACGAGAGTGAACTTTAAAGAGTAAGTTCAATTTGGGTCATTTAAAAAAAATAACTGCAATGACTCATTAAAAATCTTAGAAAAGCAACATTTCTTCTCGTAATCACAGTGGTGAAGTAAGTTACCATAATCCAGCTCTGCTCATGTCAATCCAGTCAGAAAACCTTAGTGGTAAAAGTAAACCTTAACCAATATCTGGGCTGCCCCAGTGACTTCCTTGGTACCTCTTTAGTTCTATTAAAGAAAAGGCTAGAACAGTTGTGGTTGGGGCTGTGGTGATGGGGCCAAACTAACCCAGTGAGAAAACCCTAAAAGAACACAAGATAGTTCCTCCAAGACGCTCCCAGGCCCTCAGTCTTTCTGGTCTCTAGTGACAGGAAAACCTGAGAGGAGGAACTGCCTCCCTGGTGAGATAGGTATGAAGTCAGCTCTGCTTCTGGTTTAGTTAAAATGAGAGGGCCTGGATAGGTAATATTTTTGAAGGTCCTAAGCATTGCTTAATTAATAAGCTGTTTTGCAGAGAAGGGGAGGAAAAACGTTTTGTTTGTTTTAGGGGATAGGGGAATTTGTGTGCTTCATGGAGCCTGTGAGGGGGATATGGATGAATGGAGACTAAGGAGTACCAGGGATATTGGTGAGGCAGGAACCATCCTGTTCATGTTTAGTTAAGGTTAGTTTTAAGCACTAAGGATAACTGAACCAAGAAAATTTCTAGTTAAAAAAAAAATCATTTACATTCTCCAAATATGCTGGCCATACTTAAGCCTACTATAATTTTGACAGCGAAGTTACAAGGACTTGCCCTCAGGCAACGAATTCTATTTATTTTTAGTGTAAACTATCTAGTAACTAAACAGATGTTGATTGGACATCAGGTTTGTCCAGACACTTTTACAAATAAGTCAAATGCATAGCGCCCAAAGTGCTTTCTGGTTTTAGTCAGAGAGAATGCTAAAAATGGATTCGCCACACAAGTAAGACATTGTTAAGTTGGTATCAAGTTTATATTGCTGACAGCAAAAGAAAATTAAAGAAATGGTACCATGCAGAACTTGATGCAGCAAAAAAGAAGATATGCAGCCAACCATTGCAGTCTTTTTGCCTGTTTTTTAGAAATTCAGAAAAAGCTGTCACATAATGGCATCAGAGTAGATTGGAAAGACAAAGCATTTAAAAATAAAAGGTCAATAAGACCTTACCTCTGGGTCAACTGTTAGTATCAGTCCTGGCATAACTATGCCTTTTAACCTGAACTGTTCAGTCTGGACTCATTGTAGGTTCCACGGAGAAACACTGACAGCATTCCAGTTGGCACTTGAACCAGCCACACTCTGGGGGCCCAGCCTCTGGTGCCCTCTGTGCAGCAGCTTCCATGGTGTGTCTGCGCACCACCCAGCATTCTTAGGATTTGGACATTAACTCCTGAGAGGACCTTGAGACACACAAAATAAAACATGTGGCAGGTGGGAAAGACAAGGTCTTTAGTTTTGTTTCTTGGTATATGTTAAAAAAAAAAAAAAAAACCTATTGTTGGCAGAAGTTTTGCTTTGGTTAATAATAGGGATTCTGATGCACTTTTTTGTCTCAGAAATTAAATAGGTTTTAAAGATCAATATATTAAAGGTTTAGGCAGTTACACTAATTCTGATTTTTATGGAAAACTAAAGTGATTAAGTATCAGAATTCATAGATGAAGTATCAGAATTCATTATGGATTGTAAAAAAAATTCCTGTTCTTTATAGATGAATCTAATATACCTGTCATTTTATAGATTGTAATAATGTTCCTGCTGCCTAAATTATTATGTTCAAAGTTTTGAAAATTGAACAAAGGTATCTTTAAGACCCTATACTTTCAGGCATTTCTCTATATTTTTAAATTCTGTATTGTATATAATTCTAATAAGATATCATTTGCTTCAATTGTCTCTACTTTCTTTTCCTGCAAAGTTTTAGTTTGTATGTTATTAATTTAATTAATTGTACTATCTAGCCATGGATAATGGGAAGAAGGAGTTGATATTATTGTGTTCTGTGCCAAGGACTGTACCAAACTGGAATTAGTACACTATTTGCGTATGCCTCACAACTCTAGGGATTTAAGCATTGTTAGAAAGAGACTAAAAGTAAGAGAGTGAATTACTTCTTAAGATTCCACAGGTGGTATTAATAGAACGAGGACTTAAACTCAGGACTTTTGGTGCTAGCATCAATGATATTACCTCACTGGTAGTGGTTCTCAAAGCAAGGTCTCTGAAACAAAAACATCAGCATTACTGGAAACTCACCCCACATCAATTAAATAGGAATATCTGGAGGTGGGACTGAGGCAACAGTGAAATGAAGTTCATCAGATGATTCCAGTGTACATCCTTCATTGGAAACACTATGGCATTTAAACCTGAACACTATTTAAATTAAGTTACATACAGACATTGCTCCAGCCAAAATAAAAAACTTGGGCCTTTTCAGACTTCAGCTCTCTCACCTTCTGTCCCAGGTAAGGAGTGAAACATTATTTCAGCACTGATTTGCTAACAACTGATCAGCCTCCAGCAAAATGTACAATTAGTGAGTGTTTCAGTTTGTGCATCTATTAAATTAGAACCAATTCATAGAACATTGACACTAATGAGGAACCAGAAGGATGAATCTGTCTTAGAGATGAAAAAATCAAAGGTCAAGAGAGGTGAGGTAACTTAACTAAGATCAAACTTAGTCTGTTGCAGAGGTGACCCTTGTGTCTCCTATTTAGGATTTGAATGCGTTCACTACATAAACACACATGAAACTGTTTTGTCTCGGTCTACTTCCATCTTCTCTCCCTGGGCCTGAATAGAAACCAGAAGAACTGATACACAGGTGAAGGTATTGTAAGCATCATTACTGGAAGATTCCACTAAGCAGTCTGAGAAAAATCTAACATCTAATGCAATCAGATGAGTTCTGAGATTAATTGTAATAGTTGTAAACTAGGGATTTTTTGGACTGCAGTAATTAAGCAATTTTAAAAATGTATTTAAAGGAAAACACAAGGAACTATAAGGCTGTCAAATATATGGTGAAATACAGTTTATGTAGTTTCATGTAGAGCCAATAAAGATTTTATTCTAGTCAATTTTAGTGGAAATTTATCTTTGGAAAGAGTTTTTCCCTTCATTAAGTAAGTAGCTAGTGACTGCTTACTGTGTACTAGGTGCTGAAAGTACAAAGATGTTTTATTTAAGATACAGTCACTCTAAAAAAAGAAAAAAGAAATTAGGTTTAATATGCCATTAAAAAAAGTTTATAGGCTCGGTACCTGTGGCTCAAGTGGCTAAGGTGCCAACTATGTATACCCAAGGTGGTGGGTTTGAATCCAGCCTGGGCCTGCCAAACAACAATGACAGCTGCAACCAAAAAATAGCCAGGCGTTGTGGTGGGCACCTGTGGTCCCAGCTACTTGGGAGGCCGAGGCAGGAGACTTGTTTGAGCCCAGGAGTTGGAGGTTGCTGTGAGCTGTGATGCCACAGCACTCTACCCAGGGGGACAGCTTGAGGCTCCTGTCTCCAAAAAAAAAAAAAAAAAAAAAAAGTTTATAGTACAAAATTTCAAAGGTAAATAAAAGTAGGGAGAATAAAAAAAAAAGATACAGTCACTCTAAACTGAAATAAGTGCATATTAGAGTGGGGAAACATGGGTGATCCTGATGTTAAAAGTATTTTTCTGACATTACCTAGAAGGTTTGAGTTATGGAAGTCTCTACCTCTTGCCTATAATAGGTTTAGAGTTGGTTGCTATCTTAGGTAAAGACCTTTTTTGCTGTTTCTGTTTTAACCGTAAATCTTCTTAAGACCAATTCTCACATCCAAAAGGGCAGTTGTGATCAAAAGACAGTATTTTAAGAATTCTGCTCTGATCAAAGGAATTCTGCTTTGAACAGAATCAGATTCTTAATGCCATAGACTCACATGTGATATTGATATTTATACAGAATACAAAGCACTTGACCTGCTTACCTGAAGCACTTAATGATACTGCATAAAAGCCTATATAGTAAGAGAGCATTGCTGCATCTAAGGAATCAAGAGCAAACACGAGGCCCTATTTGTAGAAGATTTCCACACTGTTCGTGTTATCTTTCTTTTTGCAAGGGGAAAACGAAAGAGGGTAGAGAGGGCTGAAGTTATGTTTTCAAATACAAGTCATTATTAATCAACAGTCATTTACAAAAGAGCTTTGTATTTGCTTTACTCATTAAATTTATTGATTAATCACAGGGAAATGGGATGATCCTTCTTCCTAGTTTGTAGATTTTCAAATGGAGACACAGATTGAGTCACATTTTAATCTCATATCTGCAAAGAAGATTTACATGCAATGCTGATTGAATGTGAACTTGCTTACACATATATGTGCATTTTACCTCTAGGCCAAATTCTTATAAAAATTATTTTTCTTATGAACCTTATTTTGTTTTGCTGCCTTTCTACTTTGCTTTTTAAAATCACATTGCATTCCTGGATGTAAACAGCAGTGTCTCAGATCTAATAGAGTCCTATAGCAACTTGGAAGACACATGGACATAAAACATCTAAAAAATATCATAGCGG